TAACTACTGCTTGACTGTCTAGAAGTTTTACAGTTTCCAAAATGTTTTTTTTTCTCCTTTTTCTATCCTCCTCATGGATTTATGCATTTTTAACAAGAGCACTTTAATGACATTTTATTGGGTTTTCAGGAAACAGCTTGCGTCGAGTGCATACGATCAATCCGTCATCCTTTACTAGAGGTCAACCCAATGCTCTTTAGTCTCTTTTCCCCATCTCACAGTTTGAAAGTTATTCTTTCTTTCTACTCGTTTAATGGATTTTCTTTAAAACTTTAATAGTGTTGCCTGGCATAAAAAGTGAGAGATGATCAATACTCCTATCCTCTCTCTGGATAATGCAAGACTGGAGACTGTCTTAGCTTTGACCTGTCCTTTCCTATTCTCTACATTACTTTGCTCTAATATTTTAGTTCTCCACTGTTCAAAGTAGTCCCATCCTCAATAAGTATATTTTTAGTAACCCTGCTTTTGTGATTATTTACTGATCCCTGTACTAAGACCATCGCAGTGAATTAGACATACTAAATTACAAATGAATATACCTTGTTGGATAGGATGACATAAAATCGGCAATATTTGATAATTTTAAAACACACCACAAAACAAATGCACACATACCCCCAATCATCCTAAGCACATCCACTCTAAAGCCATGAGGTGCTGGCAAACAAGCATGGCTAGATACCTTGCATTTACCCTTCCTATTTGTCTAGGTTCAGACAGAAAAGCAGAAGCTACTCCATATGTTTCAAGCCTGAAAGTCTTCAGTGCAGAGATGAAGCTCTGGAACACTTATAGGTTGGAGAGACAGCTCAGCAGGTCAGAGCATTTGCTGCTCTTGCCAAGGGCCTGGGTTCAGGTCTCAGCTCCCATACTGGGCAGCTCCGAATTGCATGTAACTCCAGTTCCAGAGGATCTGATACCTCCTTCTGGCCTCCTGTGGCATCTTTCTCCACCCCCCAGACACATATACGTATATTAAAAAAACTATTAAAAATAAAATTTGGGGGGCTGGAGGTTAAGAGCACTGACTGCTCTTCCAGAGGTCCTGAGTTCAATTCCCAGCAACCACATGGTGGTTCACAGCCATCTGTAATGAGAACTGGTGCTGGTTTTTTGTTTTTGTTTTTTAAAACAGGGTTTCTCTATGTAGCCCTTTGATGTCCTGGAACTCCTTTTGTAGACTCGACTGACCTCGAACTCACAGAGATCTGCCTGCCTCTGCCTCCCGAGTGCTGGGATTAAAGGTGTGCTCCAGTACCATCCATCACAGGTGAGACATCCAGAAAACAAGCCCCTAGTGGAGGGACAGTGACCTAGTTGGAGACAGCTGTTTCTCCAACATATTTTTGAGCCAGTTGCTGCATTTTTAGTGCCATTGCCACCTGTACTTCAGAAGAGTCTAGTCCTGCTGTCTCTAAACTTTGGGAGGAGTTTGAACAGGCAAAACTTGGCTTTCTGGATTGCTCGGATTGCTGCTTCAAAAATTCATCATTTCCGGTGTTCCCACTAACTACTGCTTGACTGTCTAGAAGTTTTACAGTTTCCAAAATGTTTTTTTTCTCCTTTTCTATCCTCCTCATGGAAAAAAAAAAACCCAAAACAAACAAACAACCAAAAACATTATAATATAGGTTAAAGCATGCCTATTAGGAGAAAGAGAAGGGTTCAGAAAAAAAGTAAGACACACTTAAGTGTGGGTTTGGACTCCTCAAGGGAGAGGCATGGCTCATTGTTTTTACAGTAGTCCTACATAGGACTTTGGTGAGGTTCGAAGTTACTGTCTTATCACTGGGTAGTTACTGAAGGGTACCTGATAGTATTACAACCAATAACTTAAAAAGTCTAGCCCAGGGGATACAGGAAAGTAGGAAACCTTTGCTGTGAACAGTGTTGCTTGAGGTTTTCAGGTAGTGTCTGGGGGAAGCAATGAGGTCCTGCTCTAGACTCTATGTTTGCATCTATTTTAACAGGAAGCATCTAAATGTGAAAGGAACACTAGCTATGTCTGCAGCCTTACAGCAAATGGTAATTGCGTAGGTATTCCTGCTTCTCAGCCGAGGGACTTCAGACTTCGGAATGAGTCCTGTCCCTCTCATGTCCTTTCAATGTCCCTGTCTCAGGATTGCACATTCATGCCACCACGCTGTTTTAGGAAGTGCTGGAGAGCAATCTCTGGTCTTCATGCCTGCTGGGTAAGTGCTCTATCAATGTGGACTTACATCCCTTCTTCAATGACTGAAGGGCTGGGGCTGTGGGGACTTCTATCCTTTTTTTTTTTTTTTTTTAGTTTTTTTTTTTTCCCAGTTCTGTGATTATGGGCATGCATCCCCATGCCTGGTACAGGGGCCTGAGAAGTAAGGAGCTCAGGGAATGGCCAAGGTTTTGTGTGGAGAGAAGGGACATGGGCTGAACTGGGTCACAGTGGAGGATGGATGGAAAAGTGGAACTGTGGCTGCAGGAGGTTCTGAATGCAATCGAGGAGAGAAACAATTGGGGCTGTGACGCTGTATGAATGGAGGCAGGGGACTAATAGAAGGGTTGGAGTGTTTAACGTAAGGTTGAAGCACTCAGGTATGTATGTGCAAGCATATGGAGGAAGCTTGTCATAAGAGAAAAAGTAATCTGTGTTTCCAGGCTTCCCCTCCTCAGAAGGGCAGAGGGGTGGAGCCCAGCCTTCCCTGTGGGGAGAATCCTTCCTCTGTCTAACCCCTGACACAGCTGCAGCTCACCCACCCACCTTCAACTGGATCTGGCTCCTCCAGCTCAATCCAGGGTTATCTCTCAGATGGAGAGACAGGAGAGTCTGTAGCCCTATAAATGCTGGCTCTTCCCAGGCTGCCACAGTGGTCATAGCGGAGCAGGTAAGGCCTGCCCCAGTTCTAGCAAGTCCTGGACACTGTTCCTCTGGCTGGCTGTCTAGGGCAGAGTGCCCTGAGGAATTGAGTAAGAAAGGCCCTCATTTGATAAACAAGTAGTGCCTTGTTTAGCAGGCCAGTCAACAAGCAAGTGGGGAGGTTGGAGGTCACAGGATTTGGGGGATGAGTTCTGCCCACTCTTAGTGAAGGCTCCAGGAAGCCACTTCTCTACTGGGGCAGCCGCCTGAGTCTGGGGAACTTATTAACCCTCAGAGTGCCAGGAGAAAGGTGAGTGCTAGGAGCCAGCTGGGGTCATCCTTTGAACCTCCACGTTGTGTTTGTTCAGAGCAATTGTTGTCAGAGTCCCAGGCTCCTGGAGTATAAAGCAGAATGTCTGCTCTCTGTGCCCAGAACTGAGCAGGTGAGCCTGCATGGCAGAACCATGGTGGGGGTGGTGGTGGTGGTGGTGGTAGCTGGCACTGGAGAAAGGAGCTGCTGCTATGGGCTAACACAGTGCCTGTCTCCTGCATGTTGGGTATGCCAGTTTCTTGGGCACAAAATGGGACTGGAGGCAGGAAGACAGACACACAAGGGATCTAGATTGCCTAGAGGTGGGTGGGCAATCTCTGTAGTGCAACCTGAGTTCCAGGCTCCCTTCTTTGTGACTGAGGTAAGGAACAACCCACTCCTGTTGTTTGAGCCCCATACCACAAGTACCTAGTTAAGTTCTCTGGAGCCTTCAGCATGATGTTACCTACACACGAGGGAAGGGTTATCAGGATTTGGGGCAGGTAGCCCCTAGAGCAAGGTTCCTAGATCTAGGCCCTTTCTTTGCCTCTTTTCCTGATCAAGCCTCCACCTACCTTCCTCCTCAGAGTACATCATGGTAAGCATGGCTGCTGTCATCACTTGGGCCCTGGCCCTCCTCTCAGGTGGGTCTTCCATCTGACTTTAATGTGGGGTTGGGATGGAGGTTGGACTGAGGGGCCTGGCCTTTTAATTGTCTCATCTTTCTCTACAGTGTTTGCAACCACTCAGGCACGGAAGGGCTTCTGGGACTACTTCCGCCAGAGCAGCCGGGACAAAGACATGATGGGCCAACAGCAGAAGCTGGCACAGGAGTGAGTGACCTGGGCTAGGGTGTGGTGAGGGTACGAGGCATCCCTGCTGTGGGATGGCTCCTTTGCTCTGTGGTTCACATGGGAGCTGAGGGAGTCAGTCATGCTTGACTGCCAAGCACACCCCAAGCCATCTTAGTCACCCTCTGCCCAAGTCTTTCCTGCCCTGCTGCCCTCTTTTCCATTGAAATGTGGCATCTGAGATTAGCAGGTCATAGAATGACAGGATGGTGTGAATCTTGACATTTGTGTGACACTTCTTGGATGGTGCCATAGGGCTGAACTAAATTTACCTATGCAATGCCATGTCTGTGCTCTTAATATAAGGATGTAGTTGGCTGGGATTAGGACTAAAGACCCTGGCTCTCCAGCCACTCCTCCTGTATTGCTGTCCCATAGCTCTGGGGCAAGGGAGATGTTCAGGGCTAGCAATCTAATGACCTGGATCTTTTCTCCTTCTCCAGGAACATGAAAAATAGCTTCGAGCAGGACCTCTACAATATGAACAATTTGCTAGAAAAGCTAAGCCCCTCGAGTGTTCCGGGGAAAGAGCCTCCCCAGCTGGCACAGGATCCAGAAGGCATGAGGAAGCAGTTGCAGCACGAGCTGGAGGAGGTGAGAGCTCGCCTGGAGCCCTACATGGCTGCAAAGCACGAGCTGGTAGGCTGGAACTTGGAGGGCTTGAGGCAGCAGCTGAAGCCCTACACGGTGGAGCTGATGGAGCAGGTGGGCCTGAGTGTGCAGGAGCTGCAAGAGCAGTTGCGTCTGGTGGGAGAGGACACCAAGGCCCAGCTGCTGGGGGGCATGGATGAGGCGCTGAGCCTGCTGCAGGAAATGCAAAATCGAGTGATGCATCACACAGACCGGGTCAAAAAACTCTTCCACCCTTACGCAGAGCGCTTGGTGACTGGCATTGGGCACCATGTGCAGGAGCTGCACCGTAGTGTCGCTCCTCACGCGGCTGCCAGCCCCGCGCGACTCAGTCGCTGTGTGCAGACCCTGTCCAACAAACTCACACTTAAGGCAAAGGACCTGCACACCAGCATCCAGCGCAACCTGGACCAGCTGCGCGAGGAGCTCAGTGCTTTCGTTGGTGCCAGCGTAGATGGGGCAGAGGATGGAGTCTCCCCGGACCCGCAGGCTCTCTCTGAGGAGGTCCGCCAGCGACTTCAGGCTTTTCGACACGACACCTTTATACAGATCGCAGCATTCACTCGCGCCATTGACCAGGAGACAGAGGAAGTCCAGCAACAGCTAGCACCTCCTCCTCCTGGCCACAGCGCCTTCGCTCCTGAGTTGGGACACTCAGACAGTAACAAGGCCCTGAGCAGACTGCAGAGCCGACTGGATGACCTGTGGGAAGATATTAGCTATAGCCTTCATGACCAGGGTCATAGCCAGCTGAGAGAGCCCTGAGGGTCTACTTGCTCAGGTTCACTCCCCAGCTCATTGTCTGGGGATCCCTGGACCCAGAGCCTGTAGCATGGCCTATTGGGCAGAGGGTGGAAGGTCCTGCACAGTGTAGGTGAGGCCACCAAATGGTGCTGCCCTAACCTATTCAGCCGCCTCAACTCCCCCACTCAGGTGCATTACACTCACCAGGTTTTGCAAACCCAGCTTCTGGTGCTCATTTGGGAATCCTCACAAGTTGCAGCATTCTGGTGAAGGGAGTGGGGAGATTGTGTGTGTGTGAGACTGCAAGCCAGTACATGACAGTGCTGGGAGCCTGTGCCGCCACTACAACCTGGAGTTTGGCTCCTGTTACTTCTGGCTGCCAGATGGTCACTGTTACAGCTGGTCCACAGTGAGGAGCTCTTGTCTCCCCAGGGCTGTCATGAGAGCTTTTGTCAGAGCAGAACAGGAGAATGTGATGGAGAGAGCATATTATGGTGTGTGCAGATCCCTACCAGTGTTGTTGCTGGTGAGTCAGTGATGCAATGGGGCAGAGCCCCTATTTTCTTAGATAACTGCACCTATACAAGAAACTGAGCCCTCCACACTAAGGGCTTCTAAAAACCTGTAGAGGGCAAACTGTGTGCCCTCTCCATCTTCAGTCCCCACATCCTGACCTTCAGGGTGAAACTGACTTTTGGTTGAAATGAAATAGATGCTCATGATGGAAGAAGTTTGTTGGCCTGGTGTGACTCTCATTGGACCATGTCTGAGAGCAATTGCCTTCCCACCACCCCTAGAACACACACACCCCATCCACTCTTACTCCTTGCTTGCTTTTTTTCATTGTCCCTTTACCATTCATGGTCTGTCAGAGGGGTCCACCCTGGGTGAGTTCTGCCACAGGACTCCTGGCTTGACACTTGGGGGGTGGAGCAGGCTGCTTTACAGACCCCATCCCTACACCAGTCTTGTTCCACAGTCCACTCATCATAGTTCAGTGTGCATCAAATGCGGCCTGTCACTAGACAAGCATGCCCTGATTACCCCTGAGGGGTTTGTCACCCTTGTTTCTGGGAATTCAGCCTGTCACTGGACAAGCATGCCCTGATTACCCCTGAGGGGTTTGTCACCCTTGTTTCTGGTGTTTCAGCTTCCTCGTGGCTTCTTGACCCTCTTCTTGGGTCCATAAACTAATGAGCACCCCCGCCCCATGCACCCCCCTTTCTATCTCTGTCTCTCTGACACAAGATCTCACTATGTAGTCTTTGCTGGCCTGGAACTCACTATCAAGTTAGCCTCAAATTCACAGGCATCTGCCTGCCCCTGCCTCCCAAGTGCCACCATGCTTCAAGAGGGAGCCAAACACTAACTTGGCTACGAGCTGGTGGTACCACAGCCCGGCTATGGAAGTGCAGTCCGCCTGACCCCGGAACCGGAAGTCTCTCAGGTATTGACCTAGTAGACACAGGGTCTGTGGTCTCTTTAAGAAGGGGCGGGAACAACGGCTGAAGGAAGTGAGGCCACGGGAGTCGCGGAAGCCGGAAGCTGCTCCGCTGAGCGGCGCGTGGAGTGATGTCTGCCAGCGGGGCTGTGCAGCCCGGCCCCCCAGGGGCTGCTGTTGGGCCTTCGTCCTCCGCGGCTGGATTGCCAGCCACAGGGCCCTTGTTCCGGCCCCTTAGCGCCGAGGATGAGGAGCAGCAGCCCACCGAGATCGAGTCCCTGTGCATGAACTGTTACCGGAACGTGAGTCAGGGGCGCGGAGTCTGAGGACCACCCAGCCGGGCACCCAGAGACAACCCTGACCTACGGGGGACAAATGAGTTTCATTCATTCTCCCCCTCGCCGCTTCTGCTTCCTTAGGGCACGACGCGCCTTCTGCTCACCAAGATCCCCTTCTTTAGAGAAAAAAACACACTTTGTCCTTAGAGTCAGTGAAAGACACTTTGGCCCTGAAATCAAAGCCAAATCTGAACCTGAAACTGTGCAAAAAACCCAACGAATCCCTGAGCAGGAGATCTAGCCAATCTGAGCTCAGGGATTGAAATCTGACAAATCCTCACCCTGGAAATCTCCTCCCTGGGAAACAACAGCTCTGGTCCCGGCCGTCCGACCTCCAGTAAATCCTTGTGGCCGAACCTTTCATGCCCTCCTTTGGCAGTGGTATTGGTGGTGCTGCCCTCTGCTCAGCCGTTCTGCGGTTAAAATGCTTTGAATTTTGTGAGAGGGATGGGATAGCTTTTTGCCAGAGTAGAGGAGAGCAGAGTGAGCGGAGCAGGCCCACTGTAACACTTCCACTGGATCGACTCCTAGCAAAGTGCAGTTGTTACATTCTGAGGGACTGGAGCTGAACTGTAAATGAGCTGTTACCCTGGGGAAGCCTTTCCCTGGAGCATAGCTGTAAGCTGCTATGTTTACTGTGACCTGTGGTATTACTTGGCTCCTGATTGCCAGAATACCTTTCTATACTTTTTGCCAGAGTAGAGGGGAGCAGAGTGAGCGGAGCAGGCCCACTGTAACACTTCCACTGGATCGTCTCCTAGCAAAGTGCAGTTGTTACATTCTGAGGGACTGGAGCTGAACTGTAAATGAGCTGTTACCCTGGGGAAGCCTTTCCCTGGAGCATAGCTGTAAGCTGCTATGTTTACTGTGACCTGTGGTATTACTTGGCTCCTGATTGCCAGAATACCTTTCTATTCGAGCTATAACACTCAGTATTCTGCGCCAGAATCCATCCCCATCCAATCTGAGCGGCCGCAATGCTTACAGTCTGGCTCATTATGAAGCAAGCAGAGTTTGGAGGGCACAGCCTAGGGGATTCCCAGGCAAACTTATACCCTTTCTTAGACATTTTCACATAGACTTAGGAACCAACGGTTAGGCTATCTGTGTGGTGGAGCCACAACCAGGGAGCCAAACACTAACTTGGCTACGAGCTGGTGGTACCACAGCCCGGCTATGGAAGTGCAGTCCGCCTGACCCCGGAACCGGAAGTCTCTCAGGTATTGACCTAGTAGACACAGGGTCTGTGGTCTCTTTAAGAAGGGGCGGGAACAACGGCTGAAGGAAGTGAGGCCACGGGAGTCGCGGAAGCCGGAAGCTGCTCCGCTGAGCGGCGCGTGGAGTGATGTCTGCCAGCGGGGCTGTGCAGCCCGGCCCCCCAGGGGCTGCTGTTGGGCCTTCGTCCTCCGCGGCTGGATTGCCAGCCACAGGGCCCTTGTTCCGGCCCCTTAGCGCCGAGGATGAGGAGCAGCAGCCCACCGAGATCGAGTCCCTGTGCATGAACTGTTACCGGAACGTGAGTCAGGGGCGCGGAGTCTGAGGACCACCCAGCCGGGCACCCAGAGACAACCCTGACCTACGGGGGACAAATGAGTTTCATTCATTCTCCCCCTCGCCGCTTCTGCTTCCTTAGGGCACGACGCGCCTTCTGCTCACCAAGATCCCCTTCTTTAGAGAAATAATTGTGAGCTCTTTTTCCTGCGAGCACTGCGGTTGGAGCAACACGGAGATCCAGTCAGCAGGCAGGATCCAGGACCAGGGAGTGCGCTACACTTTGACCGTTAGGGGCCAAGAGGTAAGTGTAGTTCAGACAAGGTACTGCCCCACGGTTTCGGAGAGTGCATCGTGGAGGTCAGAGTCAACAGCTCTGGTCCCGGCCGTCCGACCTCCAGTAAATCCTTGTGGCCGAACCTTTCATGCCCTCCTTTGGCAGTGGTATTGGTGGTGCTGCCCTCTGCTCAGCCGTTCTGCGGTTAAAATGCTTTGAATTTTGTGAGAGGGATGGGATAAGTGAGCAGGGCTTTGTGGGCAGTGCTCTTCACCTTCTGGGCTTTCTGGCTGCTCACACCATATGTACTGTCCTGACTTTGGACTCTTCAGAATGGAAGGAGGGAAGAAGAAACAGCCTGGCTGGCATCGGGTAGAGAATATGGGCTGGTTATTTCCCAAAGAGAAGCCATACCACTCATCTTTTTTTTTGCTAGAACGTTTTTCCTTTCTGTCCAGGACATGAACAGAGAAGTGGTAAAGACAGACTCGGCCACCACAAGAATCCCGGAGCTGGATTTTGAAATCCCAGCCTTCAGCCAGAAGGGAGGTGAGTCTTAGACCAGGTATGTGAGCTATCACACGTTGCTGAAATGATACCTTATTTTCTTGCAAAGCCTGGTTGCTGGGTCAGGCCTACTGGCTGGTGTTTGGTCATGTAATCATAGTGGGTTTTCATGCTTTAACGTGAGTAGGAAGTTATGGTAAAACCTGAGAGGAAGAGTGGTTGAGAGTCCCAGTAAGCACGTGATGCACTTACTTTAGAACTTCACAGATGAGGGAAGCAAGGCCTGCAGAGTTCAGGGAAAGTGCAGAAAGTGCTAGCACTCACTTGTCTTGTGTTTCATTCACAAGCTCTGACCACTGTTGAAGGATTGATCAGCCGTGCAATCTCTGGCTTGGAACAGGACCAGCCCACAAGACGGGTGAGCAGGAGATTTCTCAAACTGCAGCAAAAAGTAGTTGTTTGTGTTCAAATAGAGTCAGCCTTCCATGTAGCTGAACTGTGTCCCACCAAATGTTGGGGAACTTTTTGACAAAGCACTTAAAGGTGCTATTTCTCTATGTCCCTCCCTCAGTGTATGCTCAGGCTTCACCTTAGACAACATAACATTACCTTGGAGGAGCCTTTCGGTTATCTACAGCTTCCTGGGTGTTTTATATCTATATTTATTATTACCGAAATAATGTAATTGTACAGGTAGTCATCTGTCTCCCTAACTGGCTAGAGAGGCATAATAAGATTTTTGATTTTTTTTTTTAGAGGAATTTATTTTTAATTTCTGGTTATGTGCCTATGTATGGATATGTCTGTGTGATGGCAGATGCCTTTGTAGAGGAATTTATTTTTTATTTGGGGTTATGTGCCTATGTATGGATATGTCTGTGTGATGGCAGATGCCTTTGTAGGCCAGAAGCAGAGGATCCCCATGGAGCTGGAGTGATAGCTAAATGGTAGAGTAAGTGAGGAAAAAAAGCCCTACCTCCTACGCCAGCACCATTTATAAACTTGAGATTTGTTGGTGTATCTCGCTGTGAAATTTGGGTCCCTGTGCTGCCACACTAAGGTTGATGTCCATGTGCTCATCCAAGTGATAGAGGGTGTGAGAAGGTTGCGACATGAGGTGTTCTCCCAGGTCTGGTGTTTCTATTGCCAAAGAAACACACCCTGAGCACAGCCAAAAGAAACACACTTTGGCTCTGCAACCAGAACCAAAGAAATGCACTGTGACCCTGAAACCAGTGCCAAATAGGCCAGAAGCAGAGGATCCCCATGGAGCTGGAGTGATAGCTAAATGGTAGAGTAAGTGAGGAAAAAAAGCCCTACCTCCTACGCCAGCACCATTTATAAACTTGAGATTTGTTGGTGTATCTCGCTGTGAAATTTGGGTCCCTGTGCTGCCACACTAAGGTTGATGTCCATGTGCTCATCCAAGTGATAGAGGGTGTGAGAAGGTTGCGACATGAGGTGTTCTCCCAGGTCTGGTGTTTCTATTCTGTTCTGGTAGGCAACGGAACATGCCATAGCCGAAAGGATTGATGAGTTCATTGGCAAACTGAAGGACCTGAAGCGAATGGCTTCCCCATTCACTCTGGTAAGGACTGAGTGACTGCAGTTGTTTTCAATGGGAGGGAGGGAGGGGAAGAGACCATTGAGACTTGACAGATCCTGTAACATCAGAACTTGAGAAGTAGAGGAAGAAGATTAAGTTCAGGGTCCTCCTTGACTACATAGCAAGTTACAGGCCAGGCCAGGCTACAGTGAAGCCCAACCGCAAAATACAAAACAACACAAAACTGACTACAATTTGTCTGCTGTGGTCTGGTGGTAGATGGAGGTTATGTATGGCTTGTTTTACTTTCTCCTCACTTATCTGTTAGGTCATTGATGATCCCTCGGGAAACAGCTTTGTTGAAAACCCACATGCTCCCCAGAAAGATGATGCCTTGGTGATCACACACTACAACCGGACCCCACAGCAAGCTGAGATGCTGGGGCTCCAGGTAAGAGGACTGAAGGAATCAGAGGAATGCTTTGGTGTTGGCCTGTGTTCTGGGTTGCTTGAAGTCACTAAAGATTTACTTTGCTGTTGTCACCACCACCACCTGGTACACGCTATCTCAGCTTGTTTGCCTCTCAGGTGTCAGACTTTGTGGTGAACCCCATGAGGCAGGTGGCAGTCACAGGATTCCTGTGTCTTGATTCCTGTCCTTCCCTTGATTGAGGGATTTGCTTTGTTTTCTCTGTCCCATTTGTTGGTGCCTTCTAGGGAACACAGGCATTCTCTCCCTCTCTGAGGAGGGCGGGAGTTGGGGAGGCTGAGGTCTGCCTGCCAGCTTGTGCTTTGTGCTTCTGTTTTTTTTTTTAGGCAGAGGCACCAGAAGAGAAGTCAGAAGAGGAAGATCTCAGAAATGAAGTGAGTTGTGGTGACTCCTTTTGAAGACATGGCAGATTTGTAGGCTGAGTCTCATGGCATCCAGTGTCTCTCATTGTCACAACCAACTGAATGTCTTTTGCTTGCATGGGTGGGAATAAGTCTGTGCCCCCAAATTGTATTCCAGGTGCTCCAGTTCAACACCAACTGCCCAGAGTGCAATGCCCCAGCTCAGACCAACATGAAGCTAGTCCGTATCTTTCAAGCAATTGGGTTGCTCTCCAGCTGACTCAGGCATGAACAGTATATTAAAGATGGGAGCCTTCCCTTCAGGGAAAGCCAGTGCTTTATCCTCTGTGATGGGGAAGAACCTTTGATGAGACTACATACCTTCTGTGTGTGGCCTAAGCCAGGTCTTTTAATGTTTGTGAACACAGCACCTGGAGTTAGGTTGTCTCGTAATGTGTTTACGCAGTCTTGGGTCCAGCATCTGCTTGTGTGGGATTTGGCTTTTCTTTTCCTTAGAAGAGGGAGGGGTCTTTCTCTCCAGGAAGCAGACAGGCTTCTTTAACTCCGTCTTCCAGAAATTCCCCACTTTAAAGAGGTTATCATCATGGCCACCAACTGCGAGAATTGTGGGCATCGGACTAATGAGGTGGGTGGGCTCCATTGTTGGGGAAGAAGATTGGCACAAGGGAAGTGTGTCTTTGTGGTTACAAGCCTGCCTTATAGATGTACTTCAGGATGGATGTGGGTGTAGTTGGTCTTTGGGGGGCTTACTGTGAGGAGGAGCCCTTGAGGGAGCTGAGAATTATCCTAGAGAGGAAAAGTTGGAAGTACCATGGATTGTAAGATGGATGAAAAGTTTACCTCGTGGAAGAGGCTTTGACTACTCAGAGGGTTGGGAGTTAGGCAATTGCAGCTCTTAGTGAAAAACTTAAGATGGCTGGAATTGATTTGATAGCTGCTGTGGCAGGTTGTAACCCTCCTTCCTCAAGTATATCTAGCATAAGCTGATTAAACTTAATTGGGAGGGGCAGTAGACAGCAAAGCTGGGACCTCGTGCATACTAGACAAGTGCACTGTTACAGAGGTACATCCCAGCCCCTGTTAAATTCTTAAACTATTACATGACTCAGTAGATAGGGACTGAAATGCTTAGAAGTCTCTTTCAACTCCTAATAGTCAGGTTTTTTATTTTTAAAGGTATATTCAGTGTTCTTGGCAATTTGGGCTAAATTTGGCATGCTACCAGGGGTGGGCACAGTGTTCCCTCAGACTCTTGGTGGTTTTGGTTTCGGTCACTTCTGCCCTTGCTGGATTAGAAGGCTGTCATTGGAAGTTGTTAGTGTGAGCCTTCTTAAAGCTGAAGTCTTTCTGGCACCAGGTGAAGCTGTCTTCTCTGGTGTTGCTCCTGACCACCCTTTCTGCAGGTGAAGTCCGGAGGAGCGGTAGAGCCCTTGGGTACCAAGATTACCCTCCACATCACAGATCCCTCAGACATGACCAGAGACCTCCTCAAGGTAAAAAGCCTGCTTGGAAAATAGATGTGCTATAGCTGCTTCTGTCTAGAGGAAATTATCATTTAGTGTCTAATGATAACATACTTGGTAGCTTGTAGCTGTGACTCAGAGTTTCAGTTTATTATGCTAGTGTCATGTTGGTTCAGATCCAGGAGTGAGTCCCTGGCTTTTAGCTAGGTAGTCAGAGAAAATGAGCATGATGACTTTGTCCTCAAACTGTCACTGGTTTATTAATTTGTCAGGAGGCCTCTGCTTGGCTTTCTTTGTTCTCTCTGAATATCTGTCCATCTTTCTGGTGCTATGGATTGAACCTGGGGCCTCTGGAATCCTAGACAGGGAGGGGGTCCCGTATAAAGCCATCCTCTGATTTAAACCTTAATTTGACTATTGTCTTACAGTCTGAGACATGTAGTGTGGAAATCCCAGAGCTAGAGTTTGAACTGGGAATGGCTGTCCTTGGGGGCAAATTCACCACTCTGGAAGGGCTTCTGAAAGACATCAGAGAACTGGTGAGTCTGGGGTGTGGTGTACAGCTTCTTTTAGCAGTTTGTCTGGGGAAAGGGCTCTCCTAGTGTCATCGGGTATGGTGACAGGTGCCTATAGTTCCAGCACTTGAGAAGTTGGGGCAAAAAGATTGCAGATTTGAGGTCAGCCTGAAGTTCCATTTCAAATACCCCTATCCCCCCACACACACACAATCTTATTTTGTTGCTTATAACTGGGGGATTGTTTGCCTTAAAGCGGGTTCAAGAAATTTTAGTATTGCCGGTTGGTAGTGGTGCATGCTTTTAATCCCAGCACTCGAGGGAGGCAGAGGCAGGGGGATTTCTGTGAGTTCAAGGCCAGCCTTGTCTATAGAGCTGGTTCCAGGACAGCAGCCAGGGCTACACAAAGAAACCCTGTCTTGAAAAACAAAACAAAGAGAGGGGAGGGAGGGAGGGAGGGAGGAAGGGAAAGAAGGAGGGAGGGAGAGAGGGAGAGAGAGAGGGGGAGAGAGAGAGAGAGAGAGAGAGAGAGAGAGAGAGAAGTTACAGGAAATGTAGAATGGAAGTTCTCAAGACTAACTGGGATAGTATAGTTATTTTGTGATTTTGAGTAAGTCATTTATTTATCTTACTGCAAATTAGCAGTAAGAGGGTCTTTATGATATTTAAACTCTAAAACATATGTGTGTGTGGTGGCTTAACATATGTAGTGAATCCACTGTATTCAACCACAGATAGAAAAATTCAGGAAACAATTATATCTGTAGTAAATATGTCTAGAGTTTGTCAGCATTTCCTAAACAGTAGTGCATAATTATTGTAGGTAAAATGTTTGTTCATTTCTCTCTCTCTCTCTCTCTCTCTCTTTCTCTCTCTTCCTTTTCTTTTCTTCCTTTCTTTCTATTTGCTAGTCCATGTAGTTGAGGCTAGCCTTGAGTTCACTGTCCTCCTAGCTCGGCCTTCCATGTGCTGGGGTTGCAGGATTGTGTGCCTGGCTTCTCTTTGTAAATTGTATTCTGTATTTCTTCTACAGACTGGAATTTCATACTGCCAGTTACCTTCTTGGCAAAGCATTCTCATAGACATCCTTCCCTGTCCTGCTCTCTGTTGCCTGCCTCCCCTCACCTAACTCAGCAAGGCAGTGTAGGAGGTGGAGAACAGCCTACAAAGACTGGGCACCCACTGCTCTCTGCACCTGCTTTGTGCTTGTAGTAACTCTCAGAACAGCCTACTCTGACTGGGCACCCACTGCTCTCTGCACCTGCTTTGTGCTTGTAGTAACTCTGCTGTCACTGGCTACAGGTAACCAAGAACCCATTCACACTGGGCGATAGCTCAAATCCTGACCAGTCGGAGAAACTGCAGGAGTTTAGCCAGAAGTTGGATCAGGTAAGAGGATGTGGCCATTTTTGTAAATTCTAGTTTCCCTGTTCTTTAAACTTTTGGGAACTCCACCTTGTAAACTGCATTGGCTCTTGTCTGGCAACTATAGCCACTTCCTTCCCGGATCAATGTAAGAGTTACCTGTTATGTTTTCCTCTCTCTTGTAGATCATCGAGGGCAAGATGAAGGCCCACTTTACTATGGACGATCCAGCAGGAAACAGTTACCTGCAGGTATGGTAGGCCTTCCTTGTAGTTCTGATTTTCATAGAATGTGCATGGTAGCTCTTGACAAGGAAAGACTGGCTTCTAAGTGGACTGCTTCAACTGGAACTTTTGGTAGGACTTGGAAAATAGGAAGAATGGTGAAGGTGGGAGGGATTTCAAGTGTGTGTAATGAAAGGTAAATAGGCAAGACCTAGTGCAGGTCTGTAATCTGAGCTGCTAAGGAGGCTATGAAGATTGAAAGTAAATTGCCTGTGCAATTTACTGAGACTGTCTCAAGATTTAAAAAGAGTCCAGTGTAAGTGCCTGTGGCTAGAGAGATGGCTCAGCAGTTAAGCACAATAGCTACTCTTCCAGAGTATCCAGGTTCAATACTCAGCACCCACATGGGAGCTCACAACTGTCTGTAACTCCAGTTCCAGAGGATCCGATACCCTCACACAGATATAACAAGAATCCATAGAAAAAAAATCAAAGTAAATAAATCATTAAAAACAGAGAGAGAGTGAGCACCTGCCCAGCTATCATGCTCAAAACCCCAGGTTTAAAAGTGAGTAAGAGCAAAGCCTTTAATCCCAGCACTCTCGAGGCAGAGGCAGGTGGATCTCTGTGAGTTCGAGACTAGTTTGGCTTACAAGAGCTAGTTTCAGGACAGCCTCCAAAGCCACAGACGTACCCTGTCTCGAACAACCCAAAAAAAAAAGGGGAGAAAGTAAGCTCTCTTCTTTCTGTGCCTGGCTGTCTTGCTCTTACTCTTATCCCCAGCTCTGAGGTTTCCATTCTGTGTCTCTGAAGTAAGGGGCAATAGAGTCCTGTCCAGAGGTCAGGACAGGAATGCTGAGAGGGTTAAGCTGACTGGGCAAGTGTCTCTTAATTGATAAAACTGTAGCAATATTTTGTTTGTGATGTTTGAACCCAGGGCCTCATCCTTACCTTAATATTAACTTCAGTATTAATGAGTGTGCAGACTATGTGGCCATGGGCACTAGAGGCCCTACAAATTCCTTGGAGTTCTTGGTCAGTCGCACCTGTGGGAAGGATCAAGGGATGCAGGGCACTGATTGTCTGCCCTTGCAGAATGTGTATGCCCCTGAAGATGATCCGGAGATGAAGGTAGAGCGGTACCAGCGTACCTTTGACCAAAATGAGGAGCTCGGGCTCAATGACATGAAGACAGAGGGCTATGAGGCAGGCCTGGCCCCACAGCGGTAGCAGTGCACAGCTCACAGGCCAGCTTCAGTGCCACCAGCACCACAGGCATATTTATGACTGTTGGAAAACGATGAGCATCCAAGCCCCTGCCTGTGGTGAGGAGGATATCGCTTGAGCTAGAGATCTAAGCAGCGGGCGATATGCAGCTGCAGGCCTACTGTGTTCCTTGACCTTCTTTTGGAGGTTTTAAGTCAGAGAAGAACCCCAGAAACACCGTGTAGTCTGCCATCACTTTTTGCCTATCAGCTCTCTACCCTTCAGTGAAATATAAGTTACAGCTGTCTTTGGGCTTTCCTAACTTTCAGCGGGAAAGAACATCTGGGGAAGGTGGGTATGGAGCACAGGTGAAGAAGCTTCCATTAAAGTGATGGCTTTTAAACAAGACCCTCTGCATTCATTGTGTCCTTGCCGATTGTCTTGCTGTTAGAATCCTCCAGCTGCCGTTGGGCAGTGACAGTGCACTTGTCTTTAATCCCAGCAATTGGGAGGCAGAGGCAGCCTGGTGTACAGAGCTAGTTCCAGGACAGCTAGGGCTGTTACACAGAGAAAAACCAAGAAAAAAAAAAAAAAAGAAAAAAAAATCCAGCTGCCTTAGCTGGCCATGGAGACTGATGCCAATTTGGGCTATGCAGTGAGATTCTGTCTTCAAAAAAGAAAAGAGGAAGAAAAAAATTAGCTTCCAAACAAATCTTTCTTCAGGTGGTGCTGTCACTGGGCAGCCAGAGGCAGCATTTCATTCATTCCAAACAGACCATGTTTGTCTACTCTGAGCCACGTATAACTGCATGGATCCATCCATTTCATGGAGCTTAAAGTCTAACCAGGGAAGCCAGGAGTGGTGGTGTGCACCTTTAATCCTGGAACATGCAAGCTGAGTTCGAGGCCAGCCTGGTCTACAGAGCAAGTTCTAGGACAGCCAGGGCTACATGGAGAAACTCTGTCTCAAAAAAACCAACAAAAAGTCTCGTGGGGGAACTGACAATGACAGATAAGGGAAAGAAAACATTAGAGAGTAAGGGAAGGGAAGTAAGGAAGGGAAGTTAATAGTTTTTGTGATTTATTTATTTATTTATTTATTTATTTATTTATTTTGAGACAGGGTTTCTCTGTGTAGCTTTGGAGCCTATCCTCGCACTCACTCTGGAGACCAGGCTGGCCTTGAACTCACAGAGATCCGCCTGCCTCTGCTTCCCGAGTGCTGGAATTAAAGGTGTGTGCCACCAATGCCCTGTGTGAGTGAATGTTTTTGTTACTAAGAATCTGAAGACCAGGTTAGCAAATGACTTAAACTTCAAAGCTTTAGATTGTGTGTGTGTTTGTGTGTGTGTGTACATGTATGTAATGATGTATGCATGTGTGTATAATGTGTGTGTATGCATGATGATTTGTGTATATGTGTGCGTGTATGTAATGTGTGCATGCATATAATGTGTGTGTGTGTGTGTGTGTGTATGTAATGATGTGTGTGTGTGTGTGTAGGCTAAAGGAGGACACTGGCTGTCCTACTGTATCACTCCCCACCTTTAATCCTGACACTCAGGCAGAGGCAGGCAGAGTTTCAGGCCAGCCAGGGCTATACAGAGAACCCCTGTCACAAAACAAACCCAATCTGGATAACCTCGTGCACTGTATTTGGCTGGCCTCTTCTAGAAAAGTCAGAATTCGGGAGTATGAGAATGAGTTTGCTCCTATATTCCTCTAAACTTATCACCTATAAAGAGGCTAATAAAACTGAAGGCTTGGCCGTGTTGGTATATAGTCCAGCTACTTGGGATGCTGAGGCAGAAGGATAACAAACTCAAGATCATCCTGGGCAACTTAGCAAGGTCATGTCTCCAAAATTCAGAAAGGGGTGGGGGAAGTAGTTCTGCTACAGAACTCTTCCTTATCATGTGCAAGGCCCTGGGTTCAATCCCCAGTGCTTGATGGAAGAAGAAACAGAATTGTGGGGGTCAAGTGAAGATTCACCAAACACTTAACCCCCTATAAGAAATACAGAATCTTCCTGGCTTTCTTTTCTTTGCCACATTGACA